GCAACATGTGTGATGAAGGTGTTGCGCTGGGCTATATCATGCAATTGAAAGTGAAACTTAAGCTCATTCCATTGCGGAGATATTCCCGCGAGAGTGCGGAAAACTTAAATTTATTTATTTATTTCCAATGTGACATTTTACCAATATACTCACGGACAATTAGGGGCCGCTCATGGACCACACTTTGAGAAGCACTGTATTATTGCCTCATAGGTTCAGTTATAAGTTAGCAAAATCAATCAAACGTAGGCCAATTATGCTTGTGAGTGTTGGCAGCTCATCCCTTAAAACAGAAGCCTCAGATTGATTATAATAAGGAGAAATATGAAGGGTGTATTTCAAGCTTGATATGTAAATAAGTCATTGGGCTTTTTTCTTATCAACTGAGATATGTTAGAAAATGTTTCCAACTTGAATTGACTGAATTTATTTGAAAAGTGTTCTTATTAACACTTGAATACTACTGTGTAATATATTTTTACATTTATATTTAAGAAGCACAATATAAGACAAGCATAAGTGTGGTCCATATTCTATTATGCTTTTTGAATTTGCTGAGGGCCGATTGAAAATGGTCCGCGGGCCGTAGTTTGGACACCCCTGCTTTATACACAGTGGCTGTTTCATTGGCTTATTTCACACGGGCAGAAGTGGAACTACCTTCTTGTCTTGAACTGAAACAGAGTTCGGTGGTCCAGCAATCTGTTCCTTAATGAAGTCCAGGTCCTCGGGCAGCACCAGGCCGTGCTGCTCCATCACCGGCTTCAGGCCATTATCCTTCACCAGGTAGTCGAACATGCTCAGAGAGGCGTTCTCATGCTGTGACACAAACAGGCTGTTGTTAATATGGAAATGTGCATGGTCTCACTTTGAAAGTGAAAGCACATGACTCATTACTCAGATAGAAAGAGCTTATCGCAACTAAAACCTGACAGGACACTTATCTAATCTCACGGTTGTTGGATGCCAGGTGTATGGTCATAATTTACATAATGACAGTGTGCCTTCTAGTTCTTATCATTGATAAGACTTATCAATCTGAGAAATGCTATCGATATGTAAGCCCTCAAATGGCCTAATGAAGACAAATGACATTGTAACGGCTTACAATAAGCCACTGAAAAACAAGCTTTCGATTGCTGTATCTTTATGCCATTTTTAAGTTTATTTTACTACTATAACTATAAACCAATCAACCAAAATAAAGTAAGAATGACACTGGGGAGACAGTGTCCTTGGAGTTAGTGCCAACAAAGGAGTTTAGGGTTTTACCTATCACTTATTTTAGACTTAGACAAAAATCTATCAGACTCAAGTTTATTTTTGATGTAAATAATTCCTTACTTTGCAGTAGATTGTGTTAAATTGCAGATAGATGAACTCAAGCTTTAACAATCTCCATAGGGAATGACTTAACGACAGATAAAGGCCTTTTCCATTTACTTTTCAAAAATAGCCAACCAAATAGCCCTTTCACAGAAGGTAGTTATTATCTGCAGTCTGACTTTTCCATTTGTTCCTATTTTCTTCCCCACAAAACTCTCGGTTTGTCCTTTTGAAAATATATTGGCAAAGCAGTTACCAACCTATTTTAAAAGCAATGAATGATCTGTTTCGAGATGTGACCAAACAAGCGTTTTTTTACGATTCTTTGTGGTAGCTCAGTTCAGTTGATAAGCGCAGCTGGACTTGTAAGTTGAAACTGTGATTTAAAGGGTTTTTATTTTATACTTGAGTGCCAAATCATTTTCTGATGAATCACAGAACAGGTTTTAAACCTCAGAAATTCAGATCTTAGTTATTAAGATGTCTAGAAGTGACTTCCCCAGACTGTCTGGATTTTCTTTAACTGCGAAAAAGTGGATTTAGACAATCTGCCTTTGTCAGTAATAACTGGAAATAAAAATATGAAGGCTTGTATAAAACTAATTCAGAGAAGTGTTCTTATCTTGCCTCAGTTTTCTTTACCCTCAATGCATACGGCAAAAGAAAAGAGAAAAATAAATCAGATTGTTTATTACCTTCCAGGAAATTCCTGGACGTGCTGTGGGGATGAACTTGCTGTCGAACATATGGGAGAATGGCCCATGACCTGGATAGGGGTTGGAATGGGGGGGGTTACATCAAAAAGCTATTGAATGTGACATGTGTGAACTTTGCACTAAGCTGCTTGTGTGTTATTCCGAGGGGAATAGACAGGAAAAGGGAATAATTTAACTTGCATTCTCCCTCATGCCCAACTTAAACTTAGACTTGTGAGCACCTGAACATCACTCACCCAGGTCATGGCAGAGCCCAGCGATCTGCACACAAAGGATGTCTCTGCGAGAGATGAGGAGCTCTGGCTGCCTCTCGTTCAGAGCTTCTACAAGCCGCCCAGCCAAGTGTCCCACTCTGTAGCAGCACACAATAAAACAATGCAGATTTACAGTAAGAGTTCAACAAACCATAACTAAAAATTAACTATATAAAGATAAAGGCATGTTAGTGAAACTTTATGTAACATTTGGTTACACAATTTTCAAGCACCTTTAAAAAAAAAAAGACAAATTCAACACAATAACGATTTTTAACAATTGTAAGTTGAGATATATTCATATCATTCATCACACATTTTTATTAAAGTACCAACATTTCCTTTTTAGAAAGTCTCAATACTTTAATATAGTATGTTATTTAGTCTTTTTTTTTTTAAATTGCTGCTAGTCCCTTTTTAGCCCTGATGTGTACTAACTTGCCTTTATTTAAATGTTATTATTAATGTGTGCTTTGCTTCTCTGTTTATTATTGCTTGCCTTTTTGCCTGCCATGTCATGTTTGGTTGTAACATTAGCCGCTTTCGTACCACCTCTCTAGCAGTGACTGAAAATGGCCAAAAGAGTTCCCGGCACTGAGTAGTCCCGGCGGTGTGAACGCAACATTATTGGTACTAACGGAACTAAAGAACCAAAGTACCAGGGAAAGTCCTGCAGTGTGAATGCGGCTACTGATTTCCCTGCTGTGGGACTAATAACCGAAAACTGATTCTAATGTCAGCCTATCCTTTCTCACATAGACAACATCTCTTGTCAACATATTGGCAGGTATCTTTTTCACAATACAAGTGTATAGAAAGCCTATTCCCAATAAGAGGGGAAGGGACAGAGGGCGGGTATTTTCCCCATGACATGCACTCTTGGCCAGTGCAATATAATATCCGATGAGAGCAATGTCAATAATATAAATCCAGATTAAAAGATTACTGAGAGACATATTATGTTTTATATTCGGCAGTTTCCTTTTATTATACCTCTATTTGACACTTTGGTGACTCAATGCTTTGCCAGTTAATGTGGTTTTATATGAGCCTATGATTCTATGATACGAGTTTTATTGATGCCTCATTATAAAACCCTATTAAATAAACCCACCAAACACGTACCCAATGCTGTGTTCAAACCGGTTGTGGGATGCTCCAGGGAAAACATAATAGGTCCCTCCGAGCTGCTTGAGGTTTCGTAGTCTCTGGAACTGAGGCGTGTCGATGATTTTGACGAGAAGAGGGTGCAACTCCACATGCCCGTGAATAGGATCATTAAACACCTGAAAGAAGACCGAACGAGACCATTCCTAATCAAAATATATAGCCAGTCTGTGTGTTTATCTTAGGGTGGTACGATGGTTTGAAGCCATTTTTCAACAAAACACATGGACAGAAAATGATATACAGTAAATATATAAATAGATTTCACAAACTAAAGTTAAAAGAAGTCTTTACAATGTAAAAATCTATTGACAAGGTATAACAATGGTTTAAATAGCAGGAAGTAAGGTGTCTCTGACATTTCCAAAAAAAGGGAGAAACCGGTCGGTTTTCATTTCACAATGTTCCCCTTAAGCTTATTTGCAGCTTGTATTATTTTCACATTCTGTTTTTGAGGTATGGGTTGAGAACAAATATGGGCTAGGAGGAAGTATTTTGTGCACTAACCCCTTGTGTCTTTTCACACTTCCCTTCTGTTTATCCTACAAGTGCTTCTCTTTTTTCTTATTATGTCTTCTTTATCCCTTTAGCCTTGAAATGTAGCAAATTCAGCACAATTCAGCTGGTAGTTACCTTATTTGGCTCTGCTCCTATCTGCCACAGCTTCCTGAAGCTATGAAGGATCTTCAGACGGTCACCAAGGCACCTGGGCAACACCGGATCAACAATAATAGAAAGAAACAGCATCGTTGTTAGAGAAGTAATTTATGTGATTGACACAAGTGTTAGTGGCCTTTTGGTCCCATTTCTCACTGTGCCCATGACAATTTTCACAAATCCCACAAATGAACACAAACACATACTTACTTTATACCAATCTTCTCCAGATCAGCGTCACTGAGATACCGCAGCCCAACACCTGTGATCTTTTGTACTAGAAAACACAGGGGAAACACAATTAATGTTGGTTTTAATATTTTATTGTATTTATTCATTTTGTCTAATGTCTTCCTTTATTTTACGGAGAGATAATTTATTGTATTGTATTATCACACCTTTTTCTCCTTGTGTCACTTGAACTGTTGTATTATCTTGTTATGCTGCGTGTGTGCAAAAGGGTTTCAACGTTTTGACCGGAAGATAATTTATTTTTTTTGTTTTAATTTATGATGTGGGCCGCCATGTTGTAAAAGCACTTTGAGCTGCACCTGGTGTATGAAAAATGCTTACAAATAAAGCTTTAACAGTGGTGGGAGAAGTATTCAGATCTTGGACTTAAGTACAAGTACAACTACCAGAGTGAAGGAATACTCTGTTACAAAAGGCCTGTATTCAAAATGTTACTGAAGTAAAATTAAAAAAAGTATTTGCATCAAAATATACTTAAAGTAACACAAGTTAAATGTACTCCTTACGCAGATTGGTCAATTTTAGAATAATATATATGATGTGTTTTGATTATAATTATTGATGCATTAATGTGTTTATCAAAGCTGGAAAAGGTGCAGCTAGTTTGAATGACTGTGTGTATACTGCAGGGTAGCTAGATGTTACTCGTCTTATTTATGTGTTGATTATATTTCAAATTATTAATCCAAATCTGCCAAGTAATTAACAGGTATTACATGAAGTTTAGTGGTGGTCAATCCCCTCAACATTGAACTAGAGTACAGTAGATATTCTTAGTTACTTTACACCACTGACTGCACACAGGACAGCAAGTTAGCATAATTTAGAAGCAGCTACCAACTGATCTACTGAATTCATATCAACAACAAGGTGAACAACAGTTTATTAAAGAACCCAGAAACTAACCTTTAAATATATCTTCCCACTCTACGAGATCTTCTCTTCGCAGGTACCGACATGTTTCTTCCACTCCCCATCGCATGTAGTCGGAGTCCAGCAGCCGGACCAATGACACCCTTTTCTCCGGCGTTTTGAAGCAGTGGTTGTCGGTCACAACTGCCTCCAACTGCCGTTTTCTGTTCTCCATATTGGTCTGATAGACTCGCGGCGAATTGCTTTAGTTAGAAGAGTAAAATCCTGAAAGATTACAGCCGGTAATGTTTCCCTTGTCGACTCCACCAGCTGATCGAGTAGATCTGCACAGTCTGGCGGTGAAAAATACCCGGGTTTTGTTTCTACACCGGGGGCGTCAACAAAACTTGAAACACAGAAACTGTTTCCGCTTGATAATTCCAAAAATAAAAGCCTTTGGAACCGTGATTAAATCAGAATCAGAATTCCTTTATTTGTCCCGGAATATACATTATTACAACAGCAGAAAGTGCAGATAAAGTGAGGAGAAAGACGTTACACATTCAAAATTAACTAAGTATGCACACGTAATTAACAATAAAAGAACACCATCAGTAAAAAAAAACACTAATAGCAGATAAGAACATCATGGTAAAAAAGTAGCAGTGTATTTGTTTTTCTTTTAAAGTGACCATATATAATTAAAATAGTTAAACTATTACATTAAGCTTCATACGTTTACTTATATTATACATACATAATACTCCCTCTTTGCACTATTTTTATTTTTGGACTTTTTTTGCTTTTATAAAAATGTGCTGTTGATCAGTTTGAGAACCTGAATCTGCTTTATGATTTTATTTCAACACTTCGCTTCCGGTAAATTGTTCGCTGCTTGTAGAGAACTTGACGCACGCGGAAGGTGGAGCCAAATATAGTGCAGCGAATGAGGCCAGAGAAGTGAGGCTAAACCCGGATTACGTTCAGTGACGACAATGGAGGACATGCATTGCCGGTGTTGTGTCAAATTATGCACCCCCATCACGAAATGCAACCTTTGTCACGGGAACGCCAATTTGTTGTTTTTTTAATGGTAATTTACAGACTGAGTCGCTTAGTGGTAGCTCACATATTCTTGATTCTTGTTGTTAAACTTTTCGCTCCGTATTTTGATGGTAGTGGTGTCAAATCCTGGATTTTTCATTCATTCGTCACTTCTTTTACGTTCCCACAGAACTAAACTGCATTCTCAATTACGTTTAACTAGAAACGTATTTTCTCCCACTTTACGTTTGTTATCAACGTATTGTAGTGCCGAGAGATAGGGAGTCAGAGGCAGTGCAATGATGGTGTAAAAGGGGACTTTATTTAAGAGCTGTTGACTTGTTGCAGTCAGAGAAGAAGAGAGAGACATTTGGAGGGCACACAACATATAGTTACAACACATATGTCCGTGCGGAAACAATACCCCTACCCCACAGTTCCGTTTATGAATGATGTCCCAGTGTATTAAAGGTGGTCACCACACAAGCCCCCCCAGAATTCAAACATAGCAAAAATCCTCGCGTCCGGGAGGAAGCACGACAGGGGCTGAGGAGGGTGAGGTTGCAGGTGAGGGCCGGGCCATAGAACGGGCCGTCGGAAGGGGGCCGCAGGATAGGGTATGGGCCCCAACGAGGGCAAGGGCATCCCCACCGGGGGTGGGGTGCGGGCCGGAACGGGCAGTCGAAAGGGGGCCGCAGGAGAGGCCCCAACGAGGGCGTCCCCACCGCAGGCCCCGTGGCGAATGAAGTCCTCACCCGCCAGTCGGTGAAAGCCGGGTCGCTGAGCCGCGAAGGGCGTGAATAACCCGGTGGTCCCCAGCAGGAAGGAGAGCTGCCCGGCCGCAGTCCAGGGCACAGCGGCGGCGGGCATGAAGACCTCGGGAGGAAGGAGCCGGGTCCCCGGGGAGCAGGAGCAGCATCCCCGGGAGGAAGGAGCCGTGGACAGGGGAGAGGCCAGAAGGGGCGCTGTCCGAAGCCGCCGTCGAGTTGAACCGTGAGCCACCGTAAGAGGAGAGGCCAGGCAGGGTCCCGGAGCGCGCCACCCACGGGCCGATGAAGGCATGGGCGACGTCCGTAGCGGCCGAGGCGAAGGAAGAGGCCAGACAGGATCCCGGAGCGCGCCACCCACGGGCCGATGAAGGCATGGGCGACGTCCGAAATTGCCGAGGCGAGACGGGGTCCCGGAGCGCGCCACCCACGGGCCGCTGAAGGCATGGGCGACGTCCGAAACCGCCGTCGAGGTGGTGCAAAGGCG